CAACAGCTAAAGGAAAGCTAAATCAAATAGCATCATGGTCAGAGATATGTGTATTAATAATGGAGAGATGGACTATGCTGAGACCTGAAGTAATAATTAAATCCAGAGTATGACCATGTTCATATGTCGGACCAGAGACATGCTGAGTACAGTCAAACGTACGAATAAGATCAAGGAACTCATACGCAGATCGATCATTCTGATCATCAATATGAATGTTCAAATCACCAAGTAGAATTATTTTCTCGTAGTTAACAGTAGTGATAGAGAGAAGATTGACAAATTCAGTTAAGAATTCACCTTTAGGGCCGGGGGGGACGATATAATAAACCAATAAGAACAGAGCGTTTGCAGGAATAAAATGTTAAAAGTTCAAAAGTATTCAAACTGCCCATAGTTATAGGTGTACGTTTGTTGCGATTTTTAAAAATAACTGCAACCCCTCCACCACGACCAGATAGTCTGGGAGAATTAAGGAAAGAAAATCCAGGACAGGCCTCAATTAGAGGGGCATCAATATCAGCCCAGGTATCCTCACTCTGCCGGTGTCTTTACTTGCTCTACTCTGTTTATTTGTAATTACCGTATTTTCCGCCGTGCACGTCGCTCCGCCCTGTAAGTCGCATCAGTCCAAATATTTCTAATAAAGTGGAAAAATCCATAAATACGTCGCATCTATTACGTGTCACAGCTGACAACCTGGAAATGTGGGCCGGTGTTGTGCCAAAAATGGATGGGCTGCCAAATGGCGGCTGCGGGAGCGTGTGTCTCAGTCGACCTTTTCCTTAAATAACGCACTCCGAAGGTCAAATCAGCTGCATTTTAAAAAGCTGATACGCGGAAACATGATCGAGCAGATGGATGAGTCGCTGTCCATTTCTTTGAAATTTAACAAGATAAACACCAAAAACAAGTATTCGTTTGCTCCACATTCTAGTAAAGGTGTGTCTCAGCTGAACTTTTACTTAATAAATGCACTTCAGTGGTGAAATCTGCTGCATTTCACCAGAGCGGAGCAGAGAAAGGAAGCTCAGTTGACGGTTGCTACTGACAGGACGGTGGCGGGATACGGCAAGCCGATTGTGTCATTAATAGCCACGTTTACCTATTACATGACAAAACTGCATGTCTTACTCGACTGCCATCTAGTGGCTGAAAATGGTAGTGTTCAATATTTTCAGTCAGAACGAATGAAAACGATCAGATCTCTGACAAAAACTGGTTTTTAAATATGGGAAGAAATCCAAACATGCTTCGCTTCGGCACTTCAGTCACAGGGCATGCAAATTATACAACAAACTGAGAGTGATAGGGCGAAAAATATGATCTTTCTATCCTTAACATGTTTTTTGTCTTTCCGCCTATAAAAACTACATGTGGACCTGCCATTCTGTGTCTGTTTCTACTTCCTGTCCGCTCAAACCTCAGCTGGTCGAAGCAGATGAGCCTGGTTCTGCTGGAGGGTTCTGTTAAAAGGGAGTTTTTCCTTCCCAATGTCTCCGTTGTGCTCGCTCAGGATGGGAGACTGTGACAAAGCGAAGATTCAACACGATCTGCTGCTTCCTTAGATACAGAACTTTTACTGATTGTTTTTTAATGTGAACGTTTCACGACTTCTGTTGTGACTTGGAACTACAGAAATAAACTGACCTGAATTTGTTGGCACTTGGAGTAGCTGTTGTGAATAACTCTCAGCTACTACCACAACCAACTGATGTCAACATCAGTAAAACTGACTCTAAACAGGTGTGTGTTCAACACTAGTTGTCTGTGGCGGCCATCTTGAATCAAGCTGAATGGGAAAGGCAGTTCTCGAGGTAAACTTAATGGTTGCATCCTGCAGTGAAATGTGTCCATTGGTTCATGATATTTTGCTAACAGACACACACACGAGCAGCAACATGATCCCTTTGCCTTCAGGCTGTAATTTAAAGTTTGTTTTAAAAACAGATTGCAGGCACAAACCAGGAAACTGTTTAATGGAAGACAGTCTCAAGAGCGAAAAGGTCCAAAAACTGTATTTATTTATTTTTCACCGACTGCAGCACGACGGCGTTTGACGTGTTCGTGCACGTCTTCAGGTCCTGAGTCCCTCGGTCAGCAGCTCTGAGGCCAGAGAAGGCTCCGTCTGCAGCTGCTGTGACGGCAGAAATAAACCCGACGTTGTTCCAGGAGCGTAAAGGACTCGCGGTCACGCTCCATCAGAGAAACGTGCCCGACGTGACGAACCAGGACTGATCTCAGTAGAATCCTGGCTAAACATGTTTTTGCAGTTATTTACGGCAGCTGCAAAAAAAAATAGGCTTCAAAATTCACGATTCGTGCCTCGTTCCTTAAATTAAAATATTTACAGGGTTTCAACTTCTGAAGGAATAAAAATAAAAAACTTTTTAGTGATTTTTTTTTTTTTTGTTAAATTACGACTTATTTTTTTTACATTAAAATTAGGAGCAATAATTTGTGTTTTTTAAAAACTATCTTTAACTGAATGTAGTTTATATTTTTGCATCCTGTAAGACGTGACGGCATATTGCAGATATTCCGATGATAGAAATGTCAAACGTTCTCTCTAAACGAGACTGAAAATGGTTCTAGATCAGGGCTATTCAATTGGCAGCCCGCGGGCCATTTCCGGCCCACTTCATGAATTTTTTTTGTTTTGTTTGTTTGTGTTCTGTTTATTGCATTTATGATTCAATGCAATAAAATAAACAAATGTAATAGGTAACAGATCATTATGAACTTTGGTTTATTTACATAATGATTTTAATCGCTGGATGTCCGGCCCCCGAGCTGTTGACTTTCAGAAACTGTGGCCCCCTGAGCAGTTCTGTTGAAAAGCCCTGTTCTAGATGTTTCTTGTTTTAAATATAAAAAATAAAAAAATAAAAGCACGGTAGAGAAATGGCACTCACAAGAAATGACAAAAACACGTCAAAATCTGTTTAAATTCAAACAGAAATAATCGTCATGCTTCAGTTTTCAACGTTCTTCTTGCAAAATAAAATTATTTCCTCCTTGTTGTAACGTCCTCAGTATCTGACCTTTCAAAATAAAACTTCCTTTGAGTCTTTGTGTGCCACACGGTGAGGTCGTGTGACCCGTGTGGGCCAACCAGAGGACCTGTCTGCGCTGTTGGTTATTGCTTCATGGTGTTCTTGATGGTCCACCTCTGACCCGAGCAGGGCTGTAGAACCAGCAGGTGACCGAAGTAAACGTTGGCCGGCACCACCTCCAGACACCGGCCCGTGGCCCGGTTTACGATGGCCTCGTTCTGCAGGAGGAGGAACAGATTCATAAGGTTCTACAGATGGTTCTGGTACCACGTGAGACTG